AAAAACACTCGTTAAAGTAATTAAAAATCTGTTTTTCTTCGTATTTTATCATATTTAGCGTGTATATATATATAATATCAATTTGTTTTTTTACAATTGCATGTAACTATATTTTATAACTTTTTAGTTAATCCTAAAAATAATTTAGAAGAATAAATTCATCTATTTATTTTTCACAAATTCGTACAAACATGTAAATTTTTGTTCCCCCTATACTGTGTAATTTTAACGCAAATTCGAATAGATACATGAAATTTTTGTTATTGATATATAAAATTGACAAAACATAAGTGTAACTAAATTAACAATTTCTTAAGAATATTATTAAGTATCTAAAGTTATGTCTGCTTCACCCTAAATTTAATACAAAATTGGAGTTTTTTAAATCCAACTACGTAAAAATTTAAAATAATTCAGTCTTACTTACTTGATTTTTCTAACATAACTAAATGATTAATTATTTACGTTTAATCTATCTCAGCAATGAAACAATTAAATACATATTCATTTTAAATATTAATTGTTCCTACATTTAACAAAAATTGAAATGTTTTAAGACTCTCAAATTTATAAGTTATATAATATTAGTAACTCGAAAACAGAAATTGTTACATGCATAGCATATCAAGTGAAACTCTATACATGAGATAATTCGTTCAATATATTATACAAAGTACAAATAGTCTAGTATTTATTTTCATAGTGACTTTTATGTACATAAACAATTTTCAACAATGAAAATTTCATAAAAATAACATAACCAGCATTTATATGTTATGTTGTCGTAATTTTTATGAAACTTCATATTTGTTACGTCTCTTACATTTTTTTACAGCCTTCTTAATAATAAATACAAATGTTAAATGAAACATAAGAAAAGAGTATACAAATATTTCTTGTTTTCCAAAATTTGAGAAAATAACAAAGTATGATACCATAATATGTACACTTGATAAATTATTTTATCACAATGTGGAACGTCGTTGCAGTAGATTTGGACTGATCATTATTCGATCATACCCATGATTTTTGTTTGTGTATATTTTGTAGGCAAACGTACAAACTATATAAACTGTATTCACATAATGTATATATATAGGTATTTTGTAAAGATTAGAACTTCGTTTTGTACAAATTATCTGCGCAATACAAATTACAAAGAAATAATAAAAAATATTTTAAAATACTTCCATACTGTCTATGTCTATTCCAATATTAAGGTAATTCTCTCCATAGTCTTGAACACGCCTTTGTACAAGCGAGTGCTCTGAATGATCTGGATCATCAGTTACAGGACTAGGTGGTGGATTAGTCATTGTTCGATCAGAATCTATCGGCATTCGGTCCATGCCTTCTCCACGTCTCAATCTTGCTTCTTCTGCTATTTCTCTAGTAGACAGTTCTGCCTTTGTTAATAAAGCAGGAAGATCTTTTTCTGAACCATCTATAAACATTAAAAATATATTTGTTAAATTATTATTTTTAAAAAATGTTGATTATAATACAATAACCAACTATAATAGAACTTACTTTCTAAACACTTAATTAGTTCTTGTGCTTTCTGTCTTCTTGCAACGGCATCAGCTTTTCTTTGTTCAACATGTTCTTTTTTATCATAATAAAAAATCTCTCTTATTTTTTCTCGCGGGATATGTTCATCATTTTTCACTAACCATAAATATACACCTCCTGCAGTTCTTCTTCTAGATCCATTCATTATTAACATACCACCTCTTTCTTCAATTTTCTTTGTTTTTTGAAAGAAATCAATAGCTTTCTCCTTACCAATTATATCTACAATTCTCCCTACAAAATACCGACATTTAAATGACTATACATATACATATATAAAATTAAAATAGAATCAAACTTAAATTAAAGTAAGAAGATAAGATCAAACTTCTTACTTATAAGAAGATCCTTTTTTTCGCTAAGTTTTGATGTTATGTCAGTAGCCACATCTGCATCAGTTGACTCAGCCGTTGTACTTAAATCTGCTATTTTTCGTGCAATTCCTTTTTGATTATCTATATCCATAGAATTACGTTTCTTTCCTAATCTTAATTTAACATTACTTCTATCTGAATGTGTTCTTTTATTTGTTAATCTTCTTTCACCATCTTTTTCATCTTCTGAACTATTATTGTTATGATGTTCCATATTCCACCTACCATTAAACGAATAGTGGTGTGGAATATTATAACTTTCAACACTACGCTCTTGATTACGTTTTTTTGTGACACCACATAATACTAAGTCTTCTGTTAAAGAATCCTCTTGCAATTGAGTACACCATATTTTGTATTTGTCATTTTGGTCTCCCCAATTTTTTGACAAATTTTTAGATCGCTTTAGTTTTAACTTAGGTCTTTTACTTTTTAATCGTCCAGAATCTGAATCAGAGTCGCTTTCAGAATCTGCAGAATCATCAGACTCATCGCTATAACCCATTTTTATATGATCTTCTTTATTTAAAACTGCATGAGGTCTTTTTAAAACAGTATACGTTTCAATATCGTTTACCTACATAAAAATATATTATACTAATATAAAATAAGAATACTTTATCATTATATAAACAAATTTGCTTGATTTTCATGAAAATTTTAGAAAAACAAATCAACAATTATAAAACGTAGAAAAATTATCTAATCAAATTAATGTAATTTAAATTACGATAACTTTAATTCAACAATAAAATTTAATGCTAAAAGACAAGATCTTTATGGTTGAAATAGGTTAGATTTCTGTCAAATATAAGATTATACAATATTTCACCTCATCGTCTATAACTTCACCATCCTCAAGTTCTAAAGGTTCTGCTTCCATATTTTTTCCTCAAGAGTAATAGCTTTTTCAATGAATAATTATCGAACAAAATTATAGTCACCCAGTAACCCTGAACCAGTCCTTCTTTCTATGCAATCTTAGTTTTTTAACAATTCCGTCGTTGTCGCCACTACTGCTATAACATATCTATACCTTTCTATTTAGTGGTTTCCACGGATCAACCTGACTGTTTTTTACTAAGATACAATTTTCTTATTGGAGGATTAATTTAATTTAATCTAAAAATTCATATTTAGTAACATATATCTAATTTCTAAAATGCATATATATGTGACTACAAATTTTATGTACTATTATTTATTAAAATCACTCAATTATATTTATTATTAAAAAACCGCACGTACTGTAAATTAAAAAATTTTCTTCTAAAATATCAACTTTTACTTTATATAACTTTTTTAAAAAATATTCAACTTATATTTTTTATTAAAGTTTTCTTTCTAATGAGTCTTCGATTCTTACCGAAACCCTAGAACTAACACAAATGAATAAAAGCGATAGGTCTATGTGAAATGGCGTATGATTCACAAGCGACATGTGTGGAGATCATTCTAACATCAGTCATCCAATTTCGTAGTTACGTTTAGTTCTAATTCCAACCACTACTAATGTTGTAATCTTATTCTATGTTGAATCGGTAACATTGGAAGCGACACGAAAATGGTAAGGGCACTCTCAGCCCTCCTAACTTGGACAAAAAAATGCATTAAATGTTAGGTCTATCCTGTACCTCGTCTATGTAATAGGTAAACTCCAGCGTCGGCGATGAGGAAAGTAACGATGATATAGTGAACTGCTTCTTCGATATGAATTAAACGTGATGTAAGGGTTTATGCCTAATAATTAATAAGGTTTGCAGATTCTAGTTTTAACAATTAAGACTTTAACACTAGAATAAAGATTTAACGAAATAACGTTTGAACTTTCTAGGTACTCCTGGGGAGTTACGCGTGCATGCACTATGTCGGTCACTTACATACAAATTATAATTTAACATTACATTAAGGACCTTATCCTATGTTACAATAGGTATGAGGTATATTTAAATATGAAATAAAATTACGATTATGGTTACATTTCGTTCGCTATGAATATGTATATGTAAGTTCGTTAAAAATAAAGAGCTAGATTCATGGCTGGTTTGCAAGAGTCGCGAAGAGTAGAAGTCACATAACTTCCTATAAAAATTGAATAAAATTTATAAACAGTTTTATTTACACTTTTAATTTATAAAAGTGACAAACATGAATAACTATAAATTGATATTAATAAAAAGAACTAAGTTCTATAAAAAATTATTTATAAGTAAATATTAAGTTTTACTGCACTAGTGATTTTGCATTCCCGTTTACCCATGATGAATTTTATCACAGTAGATGTTTACAAAATTTACGTTAACATTCCATGTTCTTTTCTATACATCTTTAGAGTTTAACATTTTACAATTTTGAACTTTGCAAGTGCAATGTTATATGGCATAATGAAGTATTAATAATTAGATTCTCTGAAAAATATAAACATTTATTACGCAAAAGATGATTTTTATACGTGGTTTAAAATGGTCGAAACAAGTTCCATTTCTTGTTTCTCGTTATTTTCAAGTGATACTTAAATTTTCTTGTATATTAATATTACGTTTAACATAAATTGTACTTTAATATACTAATGCATGGAGTATGGAATCCCGTCTCCTCCTGCTCCTCGGGGGATGAAAAATTATTCTATCTTCTGAGGGGTAGGAGGGGACGGGGGAAGTTCAAGTAAGGGAAGGGTTTTTCTTGCTATACTAAAGGAAGGGTTTTTTACTCAACAATGGGAGCTCATTCACCCATATTTTGTGTGGGTTCAAATATAAAGAAAAACAATTACAGTAATGATATTGTTTGGTTAGATATGGAAGTATGTTAATGGTATATTAATTGTTTTGTATAATAAAGTACATTTTTCAGTATTACTTAATATATATTTTAGATGAGTGGACTTGATGTAAATACATCTCACATTTTGGAAATAGCATGTTTAATCACTAATAGAAATTTAGACATTATAAGTGAGGATTTAAATATTGTTATACATCAGCCAGATGAAATATTAGACAACATGAATGATTGGTGCTTAGCAACCCATCATAAAGTAAGCATTTAAAATGAATTTGTATACTTAATATAGTAGATGTAAGTAGATGTAATAGTTTATTCCTATAAATTATTTTGTAGACAGGATTAATTAATGAATCACGTTTAAGTCAAACTACAATACAAGATGCTGAAAACATTGTACTAAAATATTTAAAAACATATGTAGAAGAAAAAGCATGTCCATTAGCAGGAAGTTCAGTATATATGGATCGTATGTTTTTGTATAAATATATGCCATTGATTAATAACTACGTGCACTATAGAATTATTGATACTTCTACTATTAAAGAATTAATTAAGTAGGTATGATGTATATGGATTTCTTTATATATTTAATTGAGTAGTACATAATTATTTTAATTTTAGAAGGTGGAATACAAATGTACCTGTCCTGCAAAAAAGATGTGATCATAGAGCATTATTAGATATAAAAGAAAGTATAAGGGAATTAAAATGTTACAAAAAATATGTATTTGATCTGTGTT